CGCGGCGGCGACGCCAGCGGCGGGAGACGGCGGCGAGGCACCAGGCGGAGGCCGCCACCTCCACACCCTCATCTCGTGCCCCATCCCCAGTCGAGGTGGCCCCTGGGCACGTCTTGACGGCCCTGCCCAGGCGGTCGGCTCGGCTGGCCCGGGGTTGAGCTTATCCGGCGCTTCATTAAATGCCTCTTGCTATCTTTATGCAGATGCCCACCGTGTGTATTGCTTGGGGCATGCAGCTTATAATTTTGGGTGGGTTTTGTATTTGCTGCAATGTTGTGTACAGCTCTACCCCCCATACCTGAATCTCTTCCCTCATGTGTTTTGTGTTGGTGCATACTTTTCCAGCTGTTTGGCACCACAGCTGGGCCCGTAGCATTCATTTGCTCCTTATGGGTGTAACAGACAGACAGACAGGGCCAGGAGCGACGGCGGCAACGCTGCCACACAGCGACCGTCCTGCATGTAGCACCACGCCTTGCCCGCATCCACAACCACGGCAGGGGAGGGCAGGGGGGCAACGTCGACGTCCGGGTTAACATCAGCAAGGTCTATGGTCAGCATCTCTGGAGGCAGCGGGATGGGGGGCACGGCTGCCTTCGTGTCGAGCGGTGTACCACTCAGCATGTTGGCAAAGAGGGCCGCATTCACAGCATGCCCGGGCTGCGCCGGCAACTGCATGGAGGCGGTAGTCTCCCAGCTGGGCTGCCAAGCAACATCGAAGCAGGCTGGGGCCAAAGGGGATGGGGCCACCGAGGCGGGAGCGCAGCCCAGGGCCTGCAGCTCCTCCAACAAAGCGCCCGACATGGCGGTGCTAGGGCCCCACTGTACCAGGAACTCCTCGGTAGCGCCAGCCGTGCGAGTGTCCAAGCAGCGCACCACCTGCAGGTGCTGCAGCTTGCCGACGGCTAGGGGGAGGGGGTGTCTGTTGGGGTTGATGTGCGCGGGGACGACCCCACCGTGCTGGCCTGCCCGAGGGGTGCCTGGAAGAGTGCACACCAGGTCCGTCACACGGCGCAGGGCAGCCAGGGCAGCCTGGCCGGCGGTCGGGTGGGCTGCAGCAAACTGCTCCGGCGTCTGCATGCGGCGCCCATCCGGCTGCATGACATCCGACAAGGTGCGCACGCCATGCTGCCACAGAGGTGCTGTCATGTCCCCCAGGATCACAAGCTCACTGATACGGCGCTGGTGGAGGCGGTTCGCGGCGGTGAGCGTCTCCCAAAGGTCCCTGGGGGTGGTGTGCTGCGGGCCTGCGGTGGTGTCAAGCCTGGCCTTGAAGTGCCAGTTCAGCAGCCACTGATACATGCGGTCAAGCATGCGGGGCTGGTTGCATGGAGCGGCCAAGGGCGGGGCATCCCACAGATCCCGGTCGCTAGGTGGCTGTGGTGGCGGCGGTGGAGGAGGCGGCGGCGGCGGGGCTTGCGCCTGAGCATCGGGCTCCGCGAACAGGTCTGCAAAATACCCCTGGGTGTCTGGGCTACTCTGCAGCTCTGGGGCCCCTGCAGACTCTGGTGGGGGGTCTGCAGGGGGAGGCGGCGGCGCCTGCTCTGGTGGTTGTGGTGGCGGTGGCGGCTGGTGGCCGCGGTCATGCAGCACAGAATGCATCATGGCGCGAGCCAGCGTGCCCAGCCGCCCGCTGTCATTCAGTGCCTCAAACATGTGCTTCAGCACCGCAGCAACATACTCCACCGTAGCCGACGGGTGGCCCATGCCGAAGTTGTCGTGCGAGGCGAAGATGGCATCTGTCGGGAACCGTTTGGGAAGGCGGTACGCCCGCCGCACTGCATTGGCACGAATCCTGTCAAAGCCATCCAAGTGAGTTTGTGTGTACGGAGCAACGCAGAAAGTGTGCCGCAGCTTGCCAAGGATGCTCTGGCACTCAATGCGCAGGGCAGTCGTTGCAGATGCAGGGGCCTCCCCAAGCTGCTCGACCATGGTCCGTAGCAGGTCCTTGGCGTGGCTGCGCTGGTGGCTCCAATCCAGGGTGAGAGTGAAGTAGACCCCCAGATATTTGAAGCCCTGCTGCCTTGGTGGGCAGCACAACGTTGGTGAGGGGCTCGCCGCAGATGTGCAGGTTGCGCAGCGCAGAGCGGATTCTGCCCGCGTGGGTGGGGCTGTGGGTGGCATGCAGGACTGCAGACGTCTCACACTTTTCAGCATTCAGGCGCATGCCGCTCCACTCACTGTACCGGCTCACTTTATCCAGTTGGACTGCCATGGACTCTGCATCCCCTGTGAGGAGCAGCACATCATCGGCGTACCCGCCTCCCGGCGCGCGAATGTGATGCGGCGGCACCTGCCCGCGCCCAGCATGCTGCCGCACGCAGTTCAGGGCATATCCCCTGTCCCCTGCATCTAGCCAACGCAGCAGGGGCTCCAGGGCGATGATGAAGAGCAAGGGGGACAGTGTGTCCCCTTGAATGACACCTCGCCTGATGTTGATGGCCTTGGTGGGGCCGTGGGGGGTGGCGATGGAGGTGTGGGCGCCGTCGTACACACTCTTGACAGCCGCGACCGCGTCTGCTGGGAAGCCCAGCTTTCGCATGATGACATACAGCCGGCTGTGCTCTAGCGAGCCAAACGCATTGGCCCAATCCAGCTTGGCCATGAACAGGTTGCTCCTGCTGTGCTTGGCATCCTCCAGTACCATGGTGAGGTACTGCAGCAGGTCACGCGTACCTCGGTTCGGCCTGAAGCCTTCTTGCATGTGGGAGAAGATGCTGTGCCGCTCGGCATAGCTGGACAGCACTTGGGCAATCAGCCGGGTGTACAACTTCAGGAAGGTGGTGTGCAAGGCAATGGGGCGGTAGTTGGCGGGGCAGGAGGCCGGTTGGCGCTTCAGGAACAACAGGGTGGTGCTATGCAGGCAACTAGGGGGCATGCGCCCAGTGCGCCAGCACAGGCGCATGAGCTCTAGCATGAGCTGCACCAGCTGGGGGGGCATGTGTTTCAGCACTTCATTGGGCAGGCCATCCGTGCCAGTGGCAGTGCCGTTGCTCAGGCCCGACAAGCAGGCTCGGAAGGCATGCATTGTCAAGGCGGAAAACAGGCTGGAATTGGGCAGGCCGCGCCTATCTGTAGCGTGCCGATCGGGGGCGCCCTCCTGCTCCCACGGCAGCTTGTCGGCTAGGTGGGCAGGCACCTTGGGGCTGGCAGAGGAGAGGTGGTGGAAGTGGATTGCCTCCCTAATAGCAGCCGGCTCTGTCACAAGCCCCTGCGTCGGGTGCTGCACCACAGGCATGGTGTGCTGGATGTCGCCAGTGTTATTGTCAGTGCCAAAGAGCTCCTTGGCAACGCGATTGGGGCAGGCATGATAACGCTGCGCAAAGAGCTTGCGCTCTTTGTGCGCGCAGTCAGTGGCGTGGCCTCGGCGCAACGTGCGCAGCGCCGCCTTGTGGTGCATCCGGGAAGCATGCACTGCCACCCCATACTCAAGCAGGACACCTGGGGCGGCAGCCTGCTCCTCACTCGGCGGCGCAATGACCGCAGCCAGGTCGGCGTCGGCCGTGATGGTTGCAGAGCACGGGCTATCCAGGATGGCGCGCCAAGTCGTGCGGCCCTGGGCCAGCTTGTGCAACAGCCTGGCCATCTTCCTGCAGGCTGTGACATGCTTGAGGTGCGCAGTATGCTGGCGGGCACGGGCGCGGCTGTAAAAGCGCTGCTGTCCTGCGGGCGGGCGCTGGGCAGGGAGCTGCTGCTGCTTGGTGGGCAACACTTGGTATGCCACCTCGCACGCTTGCTGCAGGCAGGCCCAGCCCTCAAGCAGCAACGCATCCGCGGCGGCGCGGGGGACCGCATCTGCAGCCAGAGCGGCGTGGATTGCAGTGGCAGCCTCTAGCGCTCGGGCGCCGCACTCGGCGCCAGCCTGGTGCTGGAATGCAAGCAGCTTATCTGGTGGAAAGGGCCTGGCGAAGACGGGGCGAGCGTCCGCCGCAGCTGGGGCAGGCTGCGGGGCAGGTTGGGCAGGCTGGGCGGGCGGCAGCATGGTGCCGAGGAGGACTGAGGCAGGGGCCGCGAATGAGACAGGGCGGTGGTCGGAGTGGCATGCTGCCAGGCTGGCCACAATCTGCGGCTGGGGGGAGGCGGCCAGATGAGCTATCAATGGATCGTCAGCCTTGCACAGGAAATCATCTAATCGGGCACTGGCTGCCGTGCTGTGGAAGGTGTGCGGCCTGGGTCCTAGGCACTGCGAGAAGACACTGACAAGCCCACAGGCCTCCATTGTGGCCAGTAGCTGGGTATCTGCAGGTGTCAGGCTGCCCGCGCTGCGATCAGCAGCTTGTTGCACCCCATTCAGATCCCCACCAACCAGGAACATGTCGGCCGGGGACGACTGCATGGTAGCCTGGATGTAGGCAGCGACAGCATCCACCACTGCGGTCCTGCGCTCGTCGATAGGCAGGTACACTGAAATGCAATGGCGGGCAGCCGGTGCACCCAGCGCATGCAGGCGAGTGTGGGATAGGTAGCCGTGCAGCGCAGGGGGGCAGGGCAGGGAGCTTACGTCGACGCCTCTAGCAGGCAGGGCAGCTGCCACTGCTGTGAGTACGCCAGCGCGCGGCCTGGCAGGCGGCGGGCAGGGGTGGCAGGACAGCTGCAGGTGCATGTTGGGGAATACGTCCCTGACCCAGCGGGGCGGGTGCCGTGTGGGCGTTTGCTTGAGCTCCGAGGCAAAGAACAGCGCTGGCTGCAAGGTGGAGATGAGGGTGAATGTGGATTGGGCATGGGCCCTCAGGCCGCATACGTTCTGCGCCACGCAGCGTAGCAACAGGTCGGCATCCCGCGCCGGGTGGGGCGGCGCGTGCCAGAGGGGGAGGCAGGCAGGCATTGCAAACAGCAGCTGAGTGACGAGCTGCGGGTGGGCTGTAACTGCCTCAAGCATGTTCATGCCTGCTGCTAGGGCATCATTCAGCGGCCCGAGTTGAGGCGCGGGCAAGAGCATGTGCATCAGCTGGAACCACACCGTACCGTAGTTGCGCTGGCGGGGTGGCAGGCTCTGCCATACGTGGTTGGCCACAGCCCTCAAGTGGAGCATCTCACCGACGGTGGGTCCTACAAACAGGCTGGTAAGCTGGGCTTCCTGCTCCGGGGTTAGTCTGGTAGGGTCAGTCACTGGGCAACAAACTGGGGACAAGCAGTGCAGAAGCATAAAGCCAACCAGCTGGGTGTTGATGAGCGCACCGCCTCCATGTCGGCACAGAGCTGAGCAGCGAACCTGGGTCCCGTGCCTGATGGGCTGGAGTCGGGATATCGCAGAGACACAGGGAATGGCCACCCCAGGGCGGTGCCCGGGCTAGCTTGCAGGCCAGCAGGAGCACGCACATCCCGAGATGCCAAACCCAGCGTCTAGACAGCATGAGCGCGGCACCCCGCAGCAAGGCACGCCCACAAGGGGCCAGGCTCCCCCGCAAGCGGGGTCTACGGGGGCGAAATTCTAGAGCATGGGAGTGGTGAGGCGTGCACACCTCGCTGCTAGCCTTCCCTGGCCTGTGCGGCTCAGCCCATCGCCATTAAACTTAAGCCAAAGCCTAACAGTGGCCAGGGTTTCGGCAACGGAAGTACGGTGTACCGCCATGGCGGCAGGATCAGAACACAGCAGGCTGTAATTGCATGCACGACTCACAATTCCCGTAGCTCTAATTCAGCTTCGCTATCCACTCCCCGCTGAAGCACTCGCCTTCCGACACATGCGGTCAATCGCAACTTGCACCTGCGATTGACGGCATCTGAAACCTCAGCGTGCCTTCCGGAAGGATTTAAGGGTGTGGAAGCGCTCGTGCAGGCCGCTGCAAACCCGCCGACAGCGCCCAAGAGACCCAGGCAGCAAGCGGCAAGCGTGCCGCCTGGTCTGCCGCCGCCACCGACACCATGCCTGGCCGAGTCGCGACGGCGCAGTCAGAGCTCAGCCCCGCATCAGAGCAGGACCTGGAGGCCGGCTCCCCGCAGTTCAGCATCGCCGCAGTCAAGCCGCACTCGCCGCAGCCGACGGCGCTGCACCTGTGGCCAGCCCACCTTGGAACCGAATCGTTCCCCACAGCAGCCCAGGTGCTGCAGGATGACGGCAGCACCGATAATGCCATGAACAGCAGGAGAAGCAGCCACGCTGGTTCAGCGGCTGCTGCAGACGAGAGGCCATGGCGGCGAGGATGGCACAGGTGCGATGCCGAGACAGGTGGCTCGAGTGCGTTTCAGTGACTCCCAGCCTCAAAGTGGCTCCCAACTTCAGTGGGCAAGAGTCATGGGCCCTCACCAATGCTCCACCCTATCCTTCATATTCAGGCTGTCTGACGCGGCCACGGCAGCAGCTGCGGCGGCGGCGCTGCCGCTCCGCTGGCTGAGCCGGGGGCGGCTGCCGCTCTCCCGCCGCACCCGCAGCCTTGAGGTGCTCTCGCTGGGGCGGGAGCAGTCGGCCCCCTACCTGCCGGGCAAGCAGCCGCTGCCGACACAGCTGGCCAGCCTGACAGAGGAGCAGCACAGCCGGCGGCAGCTTGTGGCGCAGCGCTGGCAGCGAGCCTGCCGGGCGCTGATGCAGGGGCGGGAGGTGGCCGGGTGCATCGACCTGCTGGGCAACAGGCTGGCGCCATCAGGCGACCGCCTGCATGCGGCAGTGGTGCTCAAAGCGCGGCTGGCGGCCTGCCCCGCGGCCAAGCAGCGGAGGCTGGCATGGGCGCTGCTGGCACGGCGGCGGGCGGGCAGGGTGGGCTGCCGGGAGCATGCCCTCAACGAGCTCTTCATCACAGGTGCAATCAGCGGACCATCTGTATCGGCCTGTGTTGCCTGCCGCTGGGAAACTGTGCGGCACGGGGCTCAGTAGCATATGTGCCTGCCCGCCTAGCACAAACCACTCCCCTGCTTGCAACCCTTCAGCCCCTGTGCCGCCCACCCTGCATGCCCGCCTTGCAGGCGAGTGCATCTTTGGCTTCTTCACTCCGCCGCCCATGGGCAGCCACCGCCCCTACTTCATCCCTGCGCTGACGGCCGTGCTGGTACTGCTGTACTTCTTCATGGCTGGGCAGTACGGGCAGTACCAGGCAGTGACCAACCCTGCCGCCACCGCCTGCCTGGCGGCTGCACAGCGAAATGGCACTGCCCCAGCTTGGGGCCCAGGCGCCATGGTGGCTTGGATCACGCCGAAGCAGCACGGCTGGTGCTTTGCTGGGAAGTCCCCCGGCAAGTTTGATGCGCAGTACCTGATCGACTGGGGTGCCCGCTGGGCTCCCGACATGCGCCGCAGGTCGGTGCTGGCCAGCCTGGGTGGCGACAGCGTGGCTGGGAGGTTAGGGCAGTCAGGCTGTCGCAGATCTGCGTGGCGACTGCATCTGGTTTCAGTTGCGCCCATGCACACATCCTGCGTGATGCCTCCCTGCCGCTACCCGCGCCCTGCAGCCCCCAGCGCTGGCTCACCTCCGCCCTGCTGCACCAGTCCTTCAGCCACCTGCTGTCCAACTGCCTGCTGCTGGTGGGGCTAGGGTGGCCCATGGAGGCCAAGTACGGCACCTGGAGATTGGCGGCGGTGGCCCTGCTGTCTGCACTGGGCGGAAACCTGTTCAGGCAAGCAGGCTGTCCTGCAGCAGGGAGCATGTGACCGCATGGGCCCGGGCATGCTCTGCTGCCAGTTGAGTGGGCCGGTGTGCGGTTATTGACCCGGCCCCGGGGACCCCACCCCCCAGCCCGCTGCATGCCCTGGGGACCCCACCCCCCAGCCCGCTGCCTGATTCCCTTCCCTTCCTTCCGCCTGCACGTGCAGCGCCGTGACCGAGGCGCCCTGCACCGCGGTGGTGGGCACCAGCGGCGTGGTGTTTGGCATGGCGGGCCTCACCCTGGCCGACATGGTCCACAACTTTGAGACGCTGAGCCGCCCGCTGCTGCGCGCCACCGTGCTGCTGGCCTTCCTCATCTTCTTTGCCGTCACCGTCGGCACCACGCCCACCGGCACCTCCCACATGTCCCACGTCGGCGGCTTCCTGTGCGGCCTGCTATCCGCGCTGGTGCTGCTGCCAAACGTGCACAGCGGGCGGGGCGAGGCGGCGGCGACGGCGGCAGGGGCGGCGGGGTGCCTGGCCATCTTCCTCACCCTACCCCTCTTCTTCTACCTGCGCCAGCTGCCGCACGTCTGCTGCGGCTGCTGATCATTGCCGCATTCGTCCTGTCCAGCATTGCTTTGATCCTCTCAATTATAGCAAAGCCCCTCTGCCGTCGCCATGTCAGCGATGAGCGGGCGCTTCCAAAAGGCGCTGCACGACGCTGCCAAGCAGCTTTGGCCAGAATGCAGGCGCTCAGCCGTGGGTGGCAGGATGTGGGCAAGCCGCTCGCTAACGTCGCCGTCAAGCTATACTTCGCGCAGCGCCTTGACTTAGCGATCGCCCTCGGCTGCCAGGCGGTGCTGCCCGCCCCAGCTGGCCTGGGGCTGGCCGCATCACGCATCATCAGGCTGCTGGTGGCGGCCAGGGCTGCGCGGGGGTCGGCGGCCCTGTCCGAGGTGACGCTGCGGCGGCAGGGCGTGAGGCAGGTGTGGTGCCCCTGCCCATCAATTCTACTGCATTGAACCCGTGGCTGTGGTTTGCAGGAGGCACAGGAGGAAGGGGAAGAGGAAGAGGCCGGTGAAGCGGCAGGTGGCAGCAAGGTGGAGCGCGGGTGTCAGGCACCTGCCCGCCGCCGCCACCAGGAGCAAGCACGCGTCGCACCCAAGGGCCTTGGCAGCGGCCTGCCGGCGCTGCCCCTGCCCCGCATCCCGCCCGGCGGCCTGCCGAGCTGCAGCCTGCAGGCCCAGACACCCTTCATGCTGGTCGGGCAGAGCGCGGCCAGGGCTCCCATGCTGGCCATGAAGGGAGATCGGCTGGTGCGGGGCCTGGCAGGGCTGGCAGCCACCTTCCTGCTGTGCAGGTAAGTACTGCGGCGCTCAGGGAGGCGAATGGGCAGCGCAGAAGACGCTGTCACCAGCCTCACATCTCAAGCATGCTCCTGCTGCTGCTGCCGCAGGGCTGTGCGCACGCCCTTCACCGGCAGGCTGGCCAGGCTGCCCCCACGGCTGGTTGAGTTCCTGTTCCACACAGGTGTGGCAGCTGTGCATGCATGCATGCATGCTCGCATGCTCGGGACATGCTTTGAAAGAGCTCCTGATTTCGTGTGGCACACCACAAGCAGCTTGCTTAGCCGCAGCCCCTGCACACTCTTCCTTTGCGTGCAGTCGTGGGCCCCGCCGCCGCTGTGTCCTACCTTAGCATTAGCGGGGCCGGTAAGGTCGTAACCGCCAGCGACCGCGCCTTGTGCCAGCGCCACGAGCCCGCGCTGCAGCAGCTGTACATGCAGCTGCGGCAGGCGGGGGATGCCGAGGCCCGGCGCGACGGGCGCGGCGTGGTGTTTGCTTCCAAAGGCGCGGAGGGTGTGCAGGCCATTGAGCGCCCGGACATCAATGCGTGCTGCCTGCCAGGCGGCCTCGTGTTCGTGCACAGGTGAGAAGGATCCCTTGCTTCTGGACCGTCCCGACAGCTGTGAGGCAAAAGGTTAGGAAGGGAGCAGCTGCCATGCACGGTCGGGAGGCCAGGCGGTGGGCACTGCTGGCAGCACAGTTGTCGCTTCAGCCAGCTGGCAACCCTGGCCTTTGCGCCGCCCTCTCATCTGCCGCAGCGGGCTGATCAAGGCGGTGCAGGGGCGGCAGGACTCGCTGGCGTTTGTGGTGGGGCACGAGGTGGGGCACGCCATCGGCAGACACAGGTGCGCAATCTTGCATCAATGATGTGGGTGGCTGCTGGCGGCGCCATGATCCGACGCCTGTGCTGAGAGCCTGTGCTGACATCAGCTGGGCTGCCTTTACGCAACATGCGTTCCCTTTCACCTGCGCAGCCTGGAAAAGGCCACGTCGATGTATGCGGGCCTGTTTGCTGTCGACGCGCTGGTGGGGCTGGCTGAGCGCCTGCTTAGGGTGAGGCTGGGGCGCTTGTGCTGCTGCCCTGGGCGGCTGCAAGGCACCGTGCATGGCTCCAGATGTGTATGGCTACAGATGTGTATGGCTGATACCGCTGCCACATGGACTCCATGTGGCTGCGGTATCAGCCATTGTCGGACCCAGCTGCCCCTCGCAAGAACGCCTGGCTGCTGCCCTGCAGCGCCTGCCCCCGGGCGAGGAGCACGGCGACTGGGTGGCCTCCCAGCTGCGCACGCTGGATGGCCTGCTGCAGAGCGGGCTGTACATGTGGCAGCTGGGCCAGTCGCGGCGCCAGGAGTACGAGGCGGACCAGCTGGCGCTGCGGCTGGGCGCGGGCGCGGGCATGAGCAGGCGAGAGGCGCGCTGGGCGGTGCGGCATGTGGCTGAGACCGTTGGTGGAGACAGGTGCCTGCTGAGGGACTACCATCTCTGATGAGGTGTAGCTTTGTGTTGTTCACTGTCGATGCAGGAGCTCCCTCTTTTCGGGGGCAACCGATGTGCTGCACAAGTTCATGCGCATGGAGGCTGAGGGAGGCGGCGCCACGCCCGCGCAGGGCGACAGCCCGCTGTCCACCCACCCCGCGGCGGCCAACCGCCTGCGACGCCTGTTTGAGCTGGGCGGCAGTATCGCCTAAGGGTTCCTTTCCTCCACCCGGCATTTGTGCAGCACCTGGCATTTTTTTAACGCTGACGCTGGCGCCAGCAGGGCGGCAGCTATGTGTTCCATTCTGTGCATGCGTTTGCGTTGCCATTCTGAACCTGCAATCAATAATCAGCATTTACCGTCTGTGAAGAGGCAGAAACTCCTTGCCTTACGGCCGTCCGCGGCATCCGCCCGGCAGTATGGCGTTCTCAGGAGCGGTGAAGATCGGCGATCTGAACGACTTCATCGCTCCGTCTCAGGCATGCGTAGTGAGCCTGGAGGGCGGCAAGCTGGCCGCCGCCAGTGATGCGGAGGTGAGGCAGAAGGACCCAGAGGGGGGTAGCAGGCCCGTTGTTGCAGGTAGCGTCTAGCGCCTAGCCCCCAGACGCCGCGCGCGCTGGGTTGCGGCTCGGCGAGCGGCCGCCTGCCGGCCGCTGTCACTGCCCGCCGCCGGGCCCAACCCGGGCCGTGCTCGTCTGAACCCCTGCAGGTTGGCACGGTGCAGTTGCAGCCACGCGGCTTCTCGCAGACCCTGCCTGCAGCAGTTGACCAGCCGGTCAAAGTGTCGCTGCACGACTGTCTGGCCTGCAGCGGGTGCGTGACGTCAGCAGAGACTGTGTTGCTCCAGCACCAGAGTGCCGGGGAGCTGCTGCAGCGGCTGGCAGACCCCAGCTGGACCGTGGTAGTTTCCCTATCACCCCAGTCAGTCGCCGTGCTGGCGGCGCTGCATGGGCTGCCGGCAGCAGAGTGCGCTGCGCGGCTGGTGGCGTTCCTTCGCCAGCTGGGTGCAGCCGCTGTGTTCGACATCGCCGCCGCTCGGCAGCTGGCGCTGGCAGAAGCGGCGCACGAGTTTGTACAACGCTACAGCCAGAGCGCCCGCGGAACAGCAGCGCTATCAGCAGCAGCAGCAGCAGCAGCAGCAGCAGCAGGAGAGGATGCTATGGATGTGGATGCAGCGGTCGCTGGGCGCGGCAGTAGAGATGGCGGCGGGCCGCTGCCCATGCTTGCATCAGCCTGCCCCGGCTGGGTGTGCTATGCTGAGAAGACGCACGGCGAGCACGTGCTGCCCTACATTGCCACAGGTGCGCGAGGAGGCGGCATGGCGGCGCCTTAGCCATGGTTGCCCCTTGCAGCGCTCATTCCACCCGCCTCCCCTGTCGCTGTCCCGCAGGCAAGAGCCCGCAGGCGGTGATGGGCACGCTGGTCAAGCGGCGCTGGTGCATGGCGGCGGGGCTGTTGCCAGCCTGGGTGTACCATTGTACCATCATGCCCTGCTATGATAAGAAGCTGGAAGCTGCGAGGGAGGACTTCAATCTGCCTGGTGAGCCAGGGAGGCAGCCTGGGGAGGGTGGCCGCTGGCTGCTGGATGGCTTGTGATCAGCCGTGGGGGGTTTGGCAGCAGGTGGCGCAGCACAGTACCAGTGTTGGGGCCGAGCCGAAAGCCTTGGTGCCTTGTTTTGCCGCCCGGCCTGGTGGCCTGTCTGCCCCGCAGGCACCCAGGTACCTGAGACTGACTGCGTGCTGGCCACAACCGAGCTGCAAGAGCTGCTGGAGCAGCGGCAGGCTGACCTGGGCAGTCTGCAGGGGGCACCCTTTGATAGCATGGTGCCACTGCCGGCAGCAGGGGCAGCAGCTGCGCCAGCATGCAATGGCAGCGATGGTGCTGGTGCTAGCAGCAACGGCTGGCACGCTGCGCCAAAGCCGCCGACCAGCAGCAGCGGCAGCGACGCCGGCGGCACGCTGCCCGCCAGCAGCGGCAGCGGCGGCTACCTGGAGTATGTGTTTCGGGCAGCAGCGCGGCAGCTGTTCGGGCGGCAGCTGCCGGCGGGGCCGCTGGCAATGAGGGTCGGCAGGAATGCGGGTACGCCCCTGCCTGCTCGCCGTTTTGGGGGACAGGCGCTGCCTTTAAACTGACAGCTTCCCATATCATACACACCTGGATCCTGCCCTGATGAGGCGGCGGAGGGCCTCTGCCCCACTTCTTGTGCCCGCCGCAGATCTGCGGGAGGTGACCCTGGAGGCGCCTGGCGGCGGCCCGCCGCTGCTGCGCTTTGCCGCCGCCTACGGCTTCCGCAACATCCAGGGGCTGATGCGCAAGGTGAAGCTGGGGCGGTGCGAGTACGACTATGTGGAGGTGATGGCCTGCCCCTCAGGTGCGGTACAGCCCGTGGTACATTTTTGGGATACAGGCAGTGCAGTGTGGGGAGCGCTGCAAGGTTTGCTGCATGTCTGCAATCTGCGACAGGGCGGCGTGTTGGACGGGCAGGTGATGGAGGGTCGCACCTTGAGATCAGCATTGTTCTGCCTCCCTTGTGGCTCCTCCCGCCGCAGGGTGCCTCAACGGCGGCGGCCAGCCCAAGCCTGCTGCGGGCCAGACCTCGGCGCAGCTGCTGGAGCAGCTGGAAACGCTGTATGCGGACGCTGGCAGCGGCCATGGGGCGGTGCAGCCGGATGCAGACCCTGCAGTACAGCAGCTGTACCACGAGTGGGTGCAGGGCCAGCCTGGGTCGGAAGCCGCCCGGCAGCTGCTGCACATGCAGTACCATAAGCGTGAGAAGACGGTAACTGCGACCCTGGCCGACTGGTGACTCCTTGGGTTGCCGCCATCTCCCTTAGTTGTCTCAACATTTCATTGCCGCATCTCCCTGCTTTCTGTGCTTTCCCTGCTCCACCTAGCGGCTTTCGTTCAACCGTTTCATTTTGACATTTTGACACAAAGAGATTTCAGTGATTCAGTGTATCATGGTGCAAGAATGAACTACCATAGGCCAGGCAATAAACGGCACGAGGCATGTCCAGGCGGTCTCCTCATGCAGGGGTAGGGGGAGAGATGCAAAGCGCCCCTCAATAGCCCGCCTTGACCTTGAACGCCGCGGCGTCCAGTCCGCCTGCCCGCCCCGTCAGCTCCTCCACTATCTTGCTGCCCACCCGCAGGCCGTCGACCGCCGAGGACACGATGCCGCCCGCATACCCGGCCCCCTCTCCGCACGGGAACAGCCCAGGCAGCGACAGGCTCTGCAGGCTGTCGGCGCCGCGATCCAGGCGCAGCGGCGCGCTGGTGCGAGTCTCGGCGGCGTGCAGCAGCGCTTGGTCGCTGCAGGGCAGGGCCGGGTGGGCGAGGGGCAGTAGGAGTGGACGCATGCCACGTGTGTGTGTGTGTGTGTGTGTGTGTGGTGTGCTGATGAGCTGCAAAGGAGGTGAGGCGAGCAAGCAGCAAGCATGTGTGCAGGCAGGCAGGAGCACCTGGCAAAGCCGGGTATTTGGCGGTCAAACCGCTCCAGGGCAGCCACAAAGGCAGCCGTCATGTGGGGAGGATAGAAGTCGTGCAGCGGTACAGGCTTCACTCCCAGGCGGTACGATGAGGGAGGCAGCTGCCCGGAAGGCGCCACGCCTGCTAGGAAGTCGGAGACGCGCTGAGCTGGCGCCACAAAGGCGCCGCCGCCACGCGCCGCCGCCTCCCGCTCATACTGCAGCGCAAGGCAGGGGCTGTATGTGAGATGGGATGATGCTGGTTTGTGTGCATGTGTGTGCTGTGGTGGCGGTGTGTGGGGCAGGCATGTGTGGAGGTGGAGCCCTCTGCCTGCCTGCCTGATGCACTGCCCCACCCACCCTCGCTGCTGCCCGCTCAGCCGCCGTGCTCCCGCGATGCACCACCCCAGCCACCACTGCACCTGCTGCTGCAGCGCCATGCCGGCCAGCGGCCCGTGCTGCGCCTCCAGGTGCTGCCAGTCGCCGGGCTGCACCGCCACCACCAGCGCGCTGTTTGCCCATTTCGAGTCCCGCCTGCGCAGAAACAGGGCCAGCAGGGGGCAGCGAATGGAGCAAATGAACATGCGGCAAGCGCCGAGGAGGGAGCAGACCAGCCGGGAAGGCGGGCAGGCAGGCTGGCTGGCAGGCAGGCAAGACGAAAGGCAAGCAGGAGCAGGCATTCGGGACGAGCGGGCAGGCAGGCGGGCACCTGCTGAAGCTCATGCCGTTGATGCACAGCTCCTCCTCGCTTGTGCTGGTGGGCACGATCTGGCCGCCGGGGCACATGCAGAACGAATACACGCCACGCGCCTCGCTCCCGCAACGGCCCCCGAGGTCGCTGCCGCCGGAGGCCGCGGCCGCCGCCAGCAGCGGCTGGTACCAATCGTCCGTGAAGTAGCTGGTGCCGCCACCTGCTGCGCCTGCTGCCGCCGCAGCGGCCTGGGCCGCCGCCGCCGCGCTGATCTCAGCAGCCAGGCGGTACTCAGCCACGGGGTAGGGGCCCTTGCCGCGCAGCACCTGCACCCAGGCGCCAGCCCCAAGCTTCTTCTGCGGTGCAGGCACCACCCTCACACCAATCCTGCAACAAGACAGTGCCAACACCCAAAACAAACAAAAAGGAACGCTGGAATCACTCCGCACCTTGGCTGAGTCGTCCGCACCGTACTGCAAGCTGTTGATGAGCTGCTGCGGGTGCTCGATCCTGCACTAGCCAGCCCGGGCGTGCGGGATGCATGGTGGGGAATGACAAGCAGCGGTGCCAACGCTCCCAGTCTAACAAGCTTGAGCATCAGCAGCGCAGGGAGGGAGGCAGGGAGGGAGGCAGGGTCGCTGCCTGTTGGCGCACCGAAGGCGGCAGCAGGAGGCAGCCAGGCAGGCAAGCAAGGCCGCAGGGCCTCACCGGAAGCCCATGGCGAATGCCTTTGGTGTGATGCTGACGTCGTGCCGCAGCACCATGCGGTACAGATCTCTGGCTGAGTGGCCGGGAGCCAGGACCACCTTTGATGCGGCGATGGTGGACCCGTCTGGCAACGCAGGTGGGGGAGCAGAGGCAGCAGCAGGGTGGGCAGGGCTGCCGGCAGCAGCGCCAGACAAGGATGCAGGCATTGGAGCGGGGTCCGCGGCAGCCAGCAGCAGCCAAGGGGGGCCAGGCGCAACGCAGTGTGGCTGAGGCCACGCTGCTGTGGCGCGCTGCGCGTGCCCACCTGCCAGCTGCACGCCCGCCACCCGCCCGCTGCGCACAACCAGGTCCTCCACTCGGCACCCAAACCGCACCTCGCAGCCCAGCGATATCAGGTACTCCCTGCAACGCCGCAACGGCACGGCAGAACAGAGTGAAGGGCGTGCAGGGGCGCGCATATGTGGTTGCAGGGGCGACACGGGCAGCAATACGCGGCACCGTGGCGTCTCAGTGCGGGCCAGTGGGCTCGGGCGGCTGGTGGCCCTGCTCTCCCCATCATCTCCCCACCCAGGCACGGGCGACCCCCTCTGCTGCCAAAGCGAAACCCGCGCACCGGAAGGCTTTGAGGACGCGCACGAGCCGGTCAGTGCCCAGGTGCGGCTTGCCAGACACCAGCACACTCTGCAAGCAGCCAGGAGACGAGCAGGCACGGAGGCTCACCCGCACGCAGCCTGCACAACAGGGCAGACGGCTGCATGTCTGGCCCCGCCGCGATGCCCCTGCTGGTCCCCGCGCCAGCTGGCTCTCACCTCTGGCGCCCCGAAGCGGTAGAGCGTGTTGAGGACTGCGCGCACGGGGTCGCTGTTGCGCCCGATGCGCGTGGTCAGCTTGCCGTCGCTCCAGGTGCCCGCGCCGCCCTCCCCGTAGCACAGGTTTGACTCTGGGTTGACCCTCCGCCGCACAAACAGGGCGCCGATGTCCTTGCCTCGCACCTCCACCGGCTGCCCGCGCTCGAGCAGGACCACTTTGATCCCAGCTTCAGCCATCTGTAGTGCAGCCCACAGGCCTGCTGGCCCACACCCTACCACCACCACGGGCTCCCCAGCCGCCCCGCTGCCACTGCCGCCGCCGCAGCCCTGGCCCTGCTGCGCTCCCAGTGCCGGCAAGGGCGCCTGCTCCTGCTGCTGCTGCTGGCGCTCCAGCGAACCCAGGCGCTCCTGGAGGCGCCGCAGGCCTGCCTCCTTGAGGGCTGCTGCATCCACATCCACGCAGTATGCCCAGGTTTTCCTGCAGGAAGGGGCCAAGGGGGCCAGCAAGAACGGTCTGGGTCTCAGCAACTGGTTTCCATGCTGCTTCACAGAAGCAGCAGAGACTGCATACAGCAATGAATAACCAGCCTGCATTACGAGCTCACCTGGCTGGGGCTCCATCCCTTGCCTTGCGGGCATCAAACGACTTGCGAACAACCCTCACGGCAGCGGCGGGTAGCGAGGTGCCGCCGCGAACGCGCAGCTTGCGGGCCAGGGCCGCCAGCAGCTGGAAGTGGACCGTGGTATAGTCGTCCTTGCCAGGATCTTCTTCTGCTGGCACCGATACGCCAAAGACGCGCCAGGCAGGGGCACTCTCCACTTCGCACCAGCCACTGCTGCTGCCGGCGCCGCCACCGCCGCTGTCAGACTGCCGCTGCTGGCCGGGTGGCTTGCGGAGCTGCTGCCTGCGTGGCGCATCGCTGCGAGACTGGCGGGAGTCTGAAGTTGCCGTTGCGGTTACTGCATGCTGGCGATGCGTCGCTGGGCTGCTCAGAAGCCTTTGCGGCAGCCACAGCAACATGCTGTGGAGCTATCTGTTGCGTATGTTGCTTGTCACGGGCTGTATTATTAGATGTAATCGAGTGCCAGGCGGCGGGGCAGCGGGCGCAGCGTCGCCGCCGCCGCTGCTCCCTTTTGGCAGCAGGACTGGCGCATGCTGGGCGCGTTGAGCGTTTACAAGTTTCCCCAGCCCGTTTAGTATGCTGCAAGTTCCCGCAGCTTCAACTGGGCGCCACTGATGCCAATAACGCACCAAAGCATGCCAGCCAAGGCGGTCGGCGGTGCAAAGAATCAAAAAGAGGCCAGTTCAGTAATGTCACTCTAAGCAGCCAGTTGGGCAGGTTATAGTGCCCAGCAAGTTGCAATGCATGTGCTCAGCAAAATCATTTCTTCGGCACACACAGCAGTGCTGCATGCTGGCCGCCAAACTCCAGCTGCGAGGCAGCAACGGGGGCAGCCCTCCGTTCATTGGCCCACCAATGAATCCACCACAAGCAACAGGCACAGGCCAGAGCAGGCCGCACAGCTGCAGCCTGGCGCTTTGCAGGAGTCTGCACAATGAGTAGGGTCTCACATTTGGTAGCCACCCCTGTCCCGCGCTTACCTGGATGATCTTCTGGCCCGCAAACTTCTTGGTGTCTGCCAGCTTCTTGGGCACAACCTCGTCTGCACAACAAAAGCAAGCGCGTCAGCGGCGCAAGCAGGCAGAGCGCCAGAGGGTCGTGTCAACAGGCGACCGGCCGCGCGCCAAGAGCAGACAAGCCAGGGCAAGGCATGTGCGTCAGTAGGTGCAGGCACAGCAGCCAAGCCCCGCCCACCCTCATCATCGTCGCCTTTGCCCAGCTGGTTGCTGGTGCCAAAGCCCCACAGCCAGCCATCGCCCTCCTCGCTGAAGCAACCTGAAGGGCGTGGGCAGGGGCACCCCTTGCTTCATCTAAGCTGGCTCTTTACCGGGCCTGGCATCGCCATGCATGCCGCGCCAAAGCGCCGTCGACGCCGCGCCCGTCCTGCACACAGCCACCGCCTCGCTTCTCACCAGACACCGCCAGGCCCGCCGCCGCTCCCGCCACCTTGACGGCCTCCAGCCCATCCACCGCCTTGGGCTCAGGGCAGGCTGCATGTGCAGGCAGAGGGGGAGGTGGCGGGCTCCAAAGGCATGGCGGCAGCCAGGCATGGCGGCGGCAAGCAGCAAGGCTGGTCCCTGCAGCCTCCTCAGCACAGTCGGGTGCCGCCAGGGCTCTCACCTGCATCTGCCGACACTTCAGCATCCTTCTGGCCCAGGCGCCCGTACGTGGGGCGGCCAAACGACAGCAGCGTGCCTGCGTGTGGGGCGGGAGGGCAAGGGGCGTCAGGAACACCACACAACAACGCTCTAACTCCGGGGCGTGCAGCACAGCATGCCACAGCGACTAACCGGCGCACAGAGCCGGCAAAGGGCATGCTTGCTGCACCCGGTGGGGTGCCCCTGTGCCGCCGCCGCCGCCGCACCTTCTTGCGTGAGCACCAGCGTGTGGTGCTGCCCGCTGCGCACCAGGGCGCTGCCCTTGCCCTCCAGCGCTTTGACCAGCGTGGGTGCATACACAGGCACCTGGCCTGCACACACACGCACGCACGCGACAAGCAAAATTGCAGAAGGAGGACACACAAAGCAGAGCATGGAAACAGACGTGCAGCACACCGCCCTGTGCGCATGAATAGCCGGGCGGCGCACCCGGCAGCGCTAGCTGTCCGTAGTTGTTGAGCCCAAAGGCGAAGATGTGGCCGCCGGCGGTGGTGGCAAAGGTGGCGTAGGTGCCGCAGTTGACATCCACGATGCGGCTGCTGGCGCCGCTGCAGGCGGAGGCAGGAGGCGAGGGGAGCGGTTGGAGTGGGGAAGGAGAGGCAGCGAGAGCAGCGCAGCGCTTCTTGGTGGAATGCTTTTTGGATCATTCAGCTTGATGGGCGCCAAACCGGCCCCGTGCCCGGCCCGCCAGCCGCACCGGATGCGTTTGAAGGGCACCGTGTGCGGCGCCAGCAGCGTCTCCATCTTAACTCTGTCCGACAGCCGCTCGCCCACGCGCCCCAGCTGGCCCTGCTGGCCGTTGCCCCACGTCAGCAGCGCGCCGCCCGCGGTCACGCCCGCCGTGTGGTCGGCGCCTGCAGAGGGGGCAAGCACCACGGATGCAAGATCCGCATGACCACCTTCGCTGCTGCCATGCGCGTGCAGACGGCCACACGCTGCGGCCAGGAGGGTCGTGCCAAACCAGCCGGCATGCCGCGAGGTAGCCGCTGAAGGGTGGCGCGCCAGGCCGCCGCGCCACGAAGGCGCAGCCATGCCCGCAGCGGACCTGAGGCGATGCGCAGGATCTGCTCCTCCGCCTTCTTGGGCTGGTAGACGCAGGCCGGAGTGAGCTGCACGGCGGCACAATGCGGGACATGAGCCAGCAGCATGGCAGCGCAGTGCAGCACACAGCACGGCAGCCGGCGGCGGCGCTTGGGGTCGCAGCAGGCGTGGGAGCAAAGCAGCGCGATGCTGGGACGCATGCGCGCACCTGGATGCGTGTGTGAGGGCCAAAGCCCATCACGCCGCTGGCGTCCCGATAGGTGCCCCACGCCCACACCGCGCCCAGCTCAGTCAGTACACAGGTGTGGCTGTCGCCTGCAGGCCAAGCCGGGTTGGCAGGGGCTCCTCTTCAGCAGCCTGCCGGCCAGCTGCCCCACTGATCTGCAGCAGTCCAGGCGAGATGCCGCCTTGCCAGCCAGACAGACAGACAGACAACCCCAGGCCCAGCGCACCTGCGGTGACCTGCACCACCTTGCCAGCCTCCTTGGGCAGAGGCACTTTGCCGGGCACATAGGCATCGCCCGCCTTGCCGCTGGCCTGCCCAGACTTCTCCCAAAGCTCGCCCGCTGCAGGGGCAGGCCAGGCGGGTAAGTGGGCTGGCTGCATGCGCGGTTCGCTACCTGTGCGCGCCCCCATGCAGGTATGGGCGGTGGCGCCGAGCTGGGCAGAGAGCGACGGCGGCGGCGGCGGCAGCAGCGGCGCACCTGTTTCCCGGCCCAGCGCGCCCTCGTCATTAACGCCCCACGAGAAAATCTGGTGGTCTGCCGTCAGCGCCACGGTGTGCATGCCGCCGCATGCGATTTGCAGCACCTGCAGGCCGAGCAGGGGCCAAGATGGCAGAAGCAGAGTGGACGTCAGCATGACATTCAGCGCCCAGCCGCCTGCCTGTCCTCATTGCGGCACTGGCATGGAATCGTGCCAGACAATTGCCAGCAGCTTGCAACAGCCGTGCACTGCTCACCTTCTTGCCCTCTACACTGATTGGGAAGGGCCGCAGCCGCTCCGTCACCTCCTCGCCCAGTCCCAGCTGGCCGCAGTCGCCATCGCCGAACACAAACACCTCGCCGGGCACCTGGGTAGGTAGCAAACAAAGTAGCTGATAAGCTGGGCAGTGTAATGGAGTGGGCTGGGCACGCAGGATGTCCTACAGTCGAGGCGGCGGCGATGGCGGCGGCGGCGGCGGTGATGGCGACGGTGATTGACCCGCCCGGGGCACGCACCTGGAAGGCGGCCTCGATCGGATGCAGCGGCTCTTTTTTTGCCCCGGCCCGGCGGCGCACTTGCCGCTCCACTGCCGGCTGCACCTCCTTCCTCCGCCGCCTTCCGCTTGCTGGCTTTCACTACCTTCTTGGCCATCCTGAATCCCACCTCAGCTGGATCGATGTGCGATTTTCAGCCCAATGGGCGCGTTTGGCTTGAGGTGCCGGCATGGGCACTACATGAGGCAAGTACATGTCTCTGGCCGACGCCTCAGGCGCCCTGGCGATGCCTGAGGCACACCGAATCAATATTCCTGCCATTTAATGTCGTCAGCCAGGTGCTGCCTCTGCTCTCCGGTTTCGCCTGATGCGTGTTTGCGGAGGCTGTCATACGTGTTTCATGTTTGGTGTACACATTGTCCTTTGTTGTGGATGGACGAGGATGTGCGTCTTTTGCGAATTCCCTCCACTTTGTCCTCCAGTGCTCACTCACGCCGTCAACCGCCTGGCTGCTTGGCGCCAAGCATCCACCTGCAGCACAGGATGTTCGATCCTGCTCCTACTGCACTCCAAGTGGCTCGGCTGGCCGATCAAGATCTGCTCATCATGCACGGTGCCGCGCACTCAAGCTGCGGCGGCACCTGGCACGCCACCCGCCAACCGCTGCCCCAGCAGCCAGGCTGCGCATCCTGATGTCAACACGTAGGTGCACAGCACACATAGCAACGAGGCTGTCCTAAACTGATTCAAGCAGCGAATTGCGGCCTCTAGTGCTTTTGCCGCATACGGCACATCGCCCGGCACAGCAGGCAGGGCGGCGGGGGCGGCGGCACTTCCTGACCCTGTTTCGGAAGTGCCCGAACCTAACTTTTCCGATCGCACCTGATTGTGGCTACTCGAAATCACGATCTCTGGAGACCGGCCGACACAGGCATCGCATCGCTGCCCACCCTGATAGCGGTCCGTGCAGCCCGCTGGCAAGCCAGGCAGCTGTTAGACATGCAGTGTCCGTGCGCGCCAGCCAACCGACGAGCCGCCCGATAGCCGAGACAACCACCCAACAGCGGGCCACTGCCGCCGCCGCCCAGCCCGCCGGCAGCCGACAGCAGCGATGAGCTCGGCAGCAGTGGCGCCCAGCGAGCCCCAGGTGGTGGTGGCCAACGGGGCCGCGGATGGAGACGAGGACAGCAGGACGACCTTCGGATCCTGGCAGGAGGAGGCGCCGCCGCCGTTTGACCCCCTGCCGACTCCGGCGGGCTCTGTGGCGGAGTCGGTGCACAGCGTTCACCTCAGCCACCTCCAGCCCCACGAGCTGAGGACCATCTCCCGCCTGTGGATCACATCACGCGACCTGGAGCCGCCACCGCCGCCACCCCACCGCAACCTGGCGCTGCGCGGCTTGCGCTGGTGGGCGCGGTGGGCTGTGCCGGGCATGGGCATGTTTGTTGAGGCCTGGATGATCTTTGCCATCGGGTGAGGCTGGGGGGAGGACTGGCGTCCAGGCGTGCCGTGCTGTGCTGTCATATCCACACCCGCCCCAGCTGGACTCAATCTTGGTGTGCGTGCATGGTGCCATGTTGTGACTTGACTAAATGCGCTCCCAAATCTGCACATGCGCCTGGCTTGCTGCCGTGACTGCAGGAACATCATGCCCCTCCTGAAGATCAGCTTCCCGCACTGCTTTGGCGGCGAGGAGCCCACCAGCTGCAGCCAGAGCGCCGCCAGCTCGGCGACATATGTGGAGGTGGGGAGGAAAGCAGCTGGCTGCCTGTCGTGGTGCCGTCATCAAACGGCAGCCAGCCAGCTCGCTGCGTGCCAGCATCGCCAGGCCTGCGGCGCTTCCACCTGATCTTGCCTGCCCCGCAGGTGTGCGGCATCATTCTGGGCATGCTGGTGCTGGGATTCTGTGCCGACATCATCGGCCGCAAGTGGGGCAGCAGGTGAGTCGGTGAGGCGGTGCGTTCTGGTTTGAAATGTCTTTGGCATCCAGTGCCACCCTGCTCCTGGATGGCCAGGTGCAGTCTTCATCTGTGCCACGGGTCTGCTTTGCCCGTCTGCCCTGTGCGCACAGGCTGGCCTCGAGCGTGATGCTGCTGGGCGGCGCCATGCTGACCGGCTGCGCCGGCGGCAGCGACAGCGGCTTCCTCGTGATGTTTCTTATTGCCCTATTCATCTTGGGGGCAGGTGGGCTGGGCGCAGGCGATTCGGGCGTCCTCTCCATGCAGCGCTGGCTGGCTGTGAGTTTGTACTGCTAGGCAGGTTTCCCACCTGCTTGCCAGGTTTCCCCTTCACTGTGCAGGCGTGGGTGGGGAGTACCCCGTGGCGGCCAGCTCAGCCGCCGAGCGAGCCGAAGGCAGCAAGCAGATGCGGCGGCGGCGCGGCGAGACCGTGCTGCTGACGTTTAGCCAGCAGGGCTGGGGTGAGCGCGGTGCTGGGGCGCCGTGGCGCTTGAGCCCTGGTCGGCTTCACTGATGCGGCATTGCCGAGCTCTCTGCGGCGGTTGGCTGCAGGCAATCTGAGCAACACGATCGTGGTGACCCTGCTGCTGCTGGTGCAAGGCGCCACGGGGCCTTCTGTCAGCGCCAGCCAGGCGGAGGTGACGTGGCGGGTGCAGTTTGCTGTGGGCACCGCCATCGCGCTGGCGCTGGTCGCCTACCGCTGGACCCTGCTGCAGGCAGGGCCCCCGCCGCAGCAGCTGCCCTGCTGCTGTCCTTGCTGCTCAGACATGAAGAACTGGCTGCGACGCTGGCTCGGGGCCAACGCAATGTGGCTGGTTGCTGCCCACCTGCTCGCCTGTTTGCAGGAGTCGAAGGTGTGGAAGGCGGAGCGGCATGACGTTGCGGAGCACTTGGCGCAGAAGGGGGTGAGCAGGGGCACGTGTCCCTGCTGTCTCCACCTGCCTGCTGCTGCCACGGCGCAGAGCACTCGCCGAGCAGTGCCTGCCTGGCACCGGCTCATCCGCTTGCCATCATGTTGCACTCGCTGACCAGATCCATGTGTGCCTGCTTGCTCCACCTCTGCTCTTGCCGCCTAGCAGATCCAACCACTCGCACCACGAGTACAGCATCATCTTCAGCTTCTACTGGCCTCGCCTGCTGGTCACCTGCCTGGCGTGGGGGCTCAGCGGCTTTGCGGTGGGCGCTCTTTGCAGCTGCTACCAAACTGGCCATCGGCCCCAGCCCATGCCGCACGCTTACAGCAGCAGCTTGCATGCGGCTGGTTCTGCGTGCGTTGGTAGTGCGCCACACCCAATAGGCAGGCCATCCCACGGGGCCCAGCCTGGCCCACACACCTGACACCTGCCCCTGCCCCACTGCGCTGGCCACATGCTGTGCGCAGTTTTACGGCCAGAAGCTGTTCCAGGCGCAGTTCATCCAAGTCATCTCCCCTGGGGCCTCCATCTATACCATGATGCAGTGGACCCTGCTGAACAACGCCGTGGCGCTGCTTGGCTGTGAGTGGCGCGGCGGGTTGCGGGCGGTCTAGACAGGATCTTATCGCACCCAAGCTGGCCTGCTCTTGCTCCACACCCTGGCACAGCATGCGTGCTGAGCCTCAGCCGGGTTGCTGCTGTTGCGAGCAAGGTACATGCGGTGACTCACGCTGCCACGCCCACGCCCCTGCTCTCCACGCAGACTATGCTGCCGCCGCCCTGATCGACCGGCCCTGGTTTGGGCGGGTGCGCATGCAAGCGGCCGGCTTCTTCATGCTCTCCGTCCTCTTTGGCCTGCAAGGCGCGCTGTACGATGTGCTGCTGGGCAGAGCCCTGGGAGCCTTCCAGTTCCTCTACTACTTCTCCGCCTTCTGGCAGAACCTGGGGCCCAACTGCACCACCTGGCTGGTGGCCAGCGAGGTGAGGCCCGCGCAGGGCGAGCGCCTGTCCACGGCGTGTGACCGCGCCGTCATGCCGCGCCGATCATGCCGCTCCTGCACCGCCACCTGCACCTGTGCCTGCATTAAGGGAGGCCGCCGCCTGCTTTGCCTGCGTTCCTAGCTGAGCCCTCACCACGCCACCCACCACCCACCCAGGACACGCATCAATGGCATTGCATTGAGACTTGTCTCCGCCACCTGCGCCGCAGGTGTATCCCACAGGCGTCCGCTCCTTCTGCAGCGGCGTGTCGGCGGCCGCGGGCAAGGCCGGCGCGCTGGTGGCGGCAGCCACCTTTAGCTCTGTGAGCCCTGCTTGCCCTGCTGCTGCCCTGCCGCTGCCCTGCTGCCGCCGGATGTTCCTGCTGCTGAACACCTGGCTGTTCTCCCCCCTCGCCCCACCCCCACCACGCCAGCCTCCTCGCCAGCTGCTGCCAGGCCGCAACCTGCCCACTTCCATGCCCTCGCCCCGCCTCACGCAGATCTCGCCACGCGCCGCCTTCTACGCCTCTGCCGGTGCCGGCCTGCTGGGCTTCCTGCTCACCGTCGCCTTCCTGCCCGACACCACGGGGCTGGACCTGCACGAAATTGACAGGTGGGCCCACGTGCTTGCATCCAGGGGCGCGGCACAGCGGCGCAGCCTGGTGCAGCAGCTGACCGGGTATCCCCAACCCAGTGTGGTGCAGCCTCAGGCTCAGCTCCTGGCGGCAGCCGGCAAGTGTTGCCTGGCCCACCGCCTCCCTGCCCACCCGCCAACCCTTGTGCCCGGCCCCCACTCTGTGGCACACAAACATCGCCCTGCCTGCAGGATGAACCGCTACCTCATGGCGGGGCAGCTGGCTCACTACCACGGCGAGGGCTGCAACCCACGCTTCCTGTCGTGGTGGGAGCGGTGGAGGCGGTACGATGAGCACTACATGCCCGACCGCGACTACGTGCACAAGCAGCTGCAGCGCCACCCGCACATGCCCGCGGAGCCGCCGCCCTCGCGGCAGACGTCGCCGCGCCCCACGCCGCGCTCGTCCCGCCGCTGGCTGCCAGGGGGCGGGTCGTCGGTGGGGGGCTCGCCGCGGCCGGGGCCGGTGTACCCGTCAATGGTTTCGCTGGCAGAGGGCAGCGCCTGCTAGCACCGCGTCCCTGGCCCACGCTGTTGTCCGGCCAGCCCCCTTTCTGTGATGTGCTTGGCATGGTCCCATGGCCCTTCATCTCAGCCTGTGATCTCAATGTGTGCGGCGGGCGCACTTGCATTACACGTTTCACGGTGACCCCTGACCCAATTCGATGAAATCACTCTCAGTTTAATTTCAGGCTCCATGAGGCAAAATCAAGGGCTGTGATCAAAACAGCAACACGAGCAGGGAATGTAGATAACTTTAAAATTAAAAGAGAAGCACCCCTTGGTTCAGGGGCGCGCTGCAGATAGCCGGCGCTGCCACGCTACTCGGCCACAGCGGGCCTGGCGAGGCAGGAGGCCGTGGCGAGCCTGGTGCGCAGGTGGCGCACGCCCGCGCCAGCCGACGCCGTCGCCTTGCTGCACAGGCGGCGGGCGGTGGCGGCGGTGCGGCTGAACGCCTTGCTCACAGCCGCAGCAGCACGGGCGGTCTTGGCGGGTGGCGGGGAGATGGTGGTGGTGGCGTCCAGCAGGGCAGGGGGCTGCACCAGCCACTGGGCCTGCAGAGGAGGGCGGGCACGGGGGTGGGAGGCATGAGTGAGTGCTGGGAGGTGAGAGATGCAGGTTGGTAGATGCAAGTGTGACTGCAGGCGGCCCTCCCTTGCTGCAAGGCAGCCAGCCAGGCACCCACCTCCTCGGGCGACAGCTCCAGGTCGAGGGTGGCGGCGGCAGAGACGGGGGCAGAGGCGGTGGCCTGGCAGGTGCTGTGCTGTGGCGCGGCAGCCGCAGCGGGCGTGGCGCAGGGCAGGCGCAGGGCGCCGCGGGGCGGGTAGGGGATGATGGCGGTGCAGGGCTGGGCCGGTGCTGGGGCGGGTGTGGCGGTGGCGGTCTGGTCGGCGGCGGGTGCAGGCTGCTGGGAGGCGAAGAGCAGCAGCTGGATGGCGCCGTGGGGCAGGTACAGGATGTGCACAGCGCACTCCTTTTGCTGCTGCTGGGCAGGAGCAGCCAGGCTGCTAGCAGCGGGAGTGGCGGCGGCAGGGATGGGGCGGGAGGGGATGGTCCAGGTGCTGGTGGCGTGGCCAGAGGTGGCGGCGGCGAAGCTCGCCTCCCGCTCAGCAGACTTGGCGCGGCCCAGCTGGCTGGCGGCGTGCTTGCGAGGGGAGGTGGCGGTGGCGGCGGCGGCGCCGCGGCTGGGGCCATAGCCTGCCATGGTCTGGCGGCGCTTTGCACCTGCAGGGGGCCGGGGTGGGGAGGAGGGCAAGCAGGGGGAAGGGAGGTGAGGGCCGGGTGGGCGTGCATGTCATCTGTGGACGCGGCCACCAGATCCCTGACACGTTTGGTGGGCTCAGTCGCCCCACGCTCCCCATACACCACTCACCGGTGTCTGCACGTGAGGCGGCGTCGCAGGTGGGGATAACGGAGATGGGCATGGCTGCTGGTGGGCGGAGGCCGGGGGTAAGCGTGGCAGAGATGGCTGTGGGTGGGTGGGTG